CGATTCTTTCCTAGCTCCATAATGCAGATATTTAGTCTTGGGTAACCAGAGAGACGTCCTCTTATTAGGCCCTTCTTGACTGTATAAAAATGGTACCGAGACCAGAATAGGGGAATGTACAGAGGTGCATTATTATAGAGGAACTTCACCTAACCTGTGATATCTACCCTACCTATGCCATCTATGACACCTAACCTACCTATGACAACAGCCTCTCTGTGTCCCTTTATGATCTGAAAAAAACAATATTTTTATCAGTCTATGGGGGTCCAGCGTTTGTCTTCCCTGCAGCTGAAGTGCACAGCTCAGCTTCTGTGCTGCCATCTTGAATCTCCTATCATTGGAAAACAGTTGCTGCTTCCTGATTTTCACAGCTGATGGACAAGGACGTGCCACAGGGTTTCTCTGCCAGCTCTCAAATACTTAAAAGAGAACTATGGGGTGAGTGTTTTTCCCCATAGTTCTCTTTAGGGTCACGGGAAAACATGTACTAACCTTCCCCCGTGACCCAAAGCTCTGTATATAGCGCGCTATTGCTCGCTTTATACTGAGATCGCCGGGACGGTTCCCGACAATGCTGTCGACATCCATCCAGCTGGCTGATTGACAGCTGGCTCGGCCTATCTAGAGTCCATTTCTCCACTCGGCACTGAAAGATCGGGAAGGGGGGGGGGGGGGGGGATCCCTGTGGGGAGTGGTGACTGACAGTCACCGCTCTCTGCAGGGAGATGATCGGAAAGTGAGCGAGCGTCTGTATGTGTTCACTCCTCGATCTATAGAGTCAACCTGTGACGGTTTCTTTGTCACAGGTCGGCTTGAACTATGAGATTGAGTGGAAATCACCACCTCATAGTTCTCCTTTTAAATTGCCCCCAGATCAAAATAGAACATTACTTAGTCCCTTATTAAAACACTGCCCCCTGGGATGTGTAATGTGGACATCATAGGAGGCTGCGGGTAGCCAATCCCTACATCACCCTTACCAGGGAATCAAGGAGTGGCAGGCCGCACCACTACTAAAAAATAGTGAAGGAATTAATTACGTGCTGGAAGGTCCACTATCAAAAAGTCATAGTGCCTATGAAAATACCTTTCTGCTGCTCTACTGAAATACTGATGGAATTGTTTTATATTTTTTACAAAATGTTTCATGCAATTTAGTAGATCCAACATTTGGGGAAAATTAGACCTTTAGGGAGTCAGGAGATGCATAGTTTTGTTAAATATTGTTTCCTGTGACTACGGTGGAGGGGCTAGATCGATTCGGGCGAGGAAGCAGATGTAACTCTGCCAAGATGCATCTACAAGGCACGCACAGACAACTTGTGACCTGCAAGTGTGTGGGGGGGGGTCCTATTGTTATTTTGCTCAATCGTTTTCTTTGCATTGTTGTCTGGGGCTGTGCGTTCTGTTTTTTTTTTAATAAGGGCCACAATAACTTTACATAAACTATTTTCTTAAAATCGCTTGCACAAAAACCCTAAAATCTGCTATGTCCCTTTTGTAACTTGCCTCCCCACATTCCAATTGTTATTAAAAAATAAATAAATAAAAGCTAGATCCATGTATTGCTGCTGTTTGCAGAAATGTTTACTGCTATGGACAGTCATTGTATGCCATGGCTGTACTTCAGCATAGAAGCAGCAGGTGGCGCTACAGGGGAAGCCTGGAAATGATCAATCCAACTCCAGGTAACTCTCAGAGGCAAGGTGAGGGGTACAAGCAGCCACGGCATTCCCAGTGTTCCTCAAATCCACTTCTTAAATGCACCTCCTTCTGAGATATTCCATCTCCACCAACTATTGTTTTACATGCATTATTCATTGAGCGTATTGTCTATTTGCAGGAAGGAACGTTTGGTTTACGTCGGAATCAGTATTGAAAACATCATTCCTACACAAGTAAGTTAGTTGCCATGCGCTGTTTTAGTGCCGACCTGACCGGTAACTACATCACTGCTACACCTTGGCGTGGCTGAAAGTACCTTTTTTTTAGTGTTCAGAGCAATCCCACTTGGATCCTAGGCCCAGGCTCTAGAAGGAATCCCAAATTCTGCCCAAGTCAAGTTATCAGTCATTGCTGGCATTGATCTAGAACCGTCAATTTACGCAGAGCTTTACATTAATTATCAGTTCTTAAAGAGCTTACAGTCTAAAGTCCTCTATCTAACTTGCGTACATTATACACACACATACCAGGGCCAATTTAGACAGCAGCCAAATAACCTACCAGCAAGTCTTTCGAGTGTGGGAGGAAACCAGGTAACCTAAGGACACAGGGAGAACGTGCAGACTTCATGCGGATGGTGGCCTGGCTGGGATTCAAACCAAGGACCTCAGAGCAGAACTAAAGTGTCTTGAAAACACTCTGAAATTACAAGTTTAAAATGGTGCATGCGCACTTTGCAAATCTGTGTTACCTTTTGCATTATCCTTATTTCATATTATCTCTGCTATCTTGTCTAGTCTCTTCTATAGCATTAGTGGAGGTGATGATAGCAGGGCTGCCAACTGAGGGGAGTGGTGTAATCCTTCCCACGCAGGTAGTTCTCAATAGGAACATTTTTTGATTCCTTTTCTTTGCCAGTTCTATCACTACCTAATCCACTCGTGCGTGTTCTTCATATGTTTGTCAGTAAGCTCTGCAGTACGACATATCACAATGGCTGCTTGTAGGTTTAAATCGCGTTCTCTCAATAGGCGTCGGCGTGCGCTTTCACTACAGATACCCAGAACTATTTTGTCACGAATAAGTTCATCTCTCAGAGACCCATAGTCACAGCTTGCAGCTTTTTCTCTTAGCCGTGTGACAAAGTTATCTATTGTTTCACCTTCTTCCTGCTTGCAGCTGCCAAATATATATATTTCATATATGACATTTTTAGAAGGTCTGAAAAAAGCTTCTAATGCATCCAGGATGGCTTTAGTGTCACTCTTCTGCTCCTCTGTGAGGTTCAGATTATGCTTGTAAACATGAAGGAGCTCACTGCCCATCACTCTCCTCAGTGTAGCTGCTTGCACCGCTGCAGGCTTCTCGTGTAATCCTGTGGCCGGGGAGTAATCCTCAAACTCAGCTCTGAAGTTATCCCAGTCACTGCTGCAATCCCCACTCACCCTCATTGCCTCAGGTAGTGGAATGCTGTGTGCAGTTGCCATGGTGCTGGTTGTAGCAATCGCTGCAGGAGGCACATTCAGCTCTAAGGCCTCTCACTGCAAGACTGGCAAGCTTTCAGCGTCCCATGAGTAGAAGCAGCGCAGATCCAAGTACTTCTGACACCATGTTTTATGTGGTAATAATGACAGCATAAGCCGTTAGTGTACAGAAGTCATGTTCTTAGAAGAGAACCCACAGAACAGGAACAGGAAACGCATCACAGGAAACAAGTGCCACAGAGATGAATCGTAGAGTTGCATATAAACTAAACATAACACTCATAACAACAGTTGAGTATGTGGATGGCACCAAAGAGCCCGCACTGGCCACCAAAGAGCCCGCACTGGCCACCAAAGAGCCCGCAGTGACCACCAGAGAGATCCCCTGACCACCAGAGAACCCACACTGACCACAAGAGAGCTGCACTGACCACCAGAGAACCCACACTGACCACAAGAGAGCTGCACTGACCACCAGACAACCCACACTGACCACTAGAGAGCTGCACTGACCACCAGAGAACCCATACTGACCACCAGAGAGATCCCCTGACCACCAGAGAGCCCCCATTGCTGGCCGCATTGATGCCAACAATGGTCTCAATAGTAATACCTTGAAGCATTTGATTGGCTGTTAGAAGTGAAGCTTCAAACTGGTGGCTTTTGGGTTATAACGAACAGGCTGGCTCTCAATTGGTGGCTCCGACGAAGGGGGCGTGCCCCGGGAAACGCGTAAGCCGCAAGCACTGAAGTTTAACCTCTGCAGTTGGATAAATGGCTCTAAATTTAGGATGCATGCGGTCTATAATCCTCCCGCATTGTGTGGGTTTTGCTGCCTTGCTGAAACAAATGTGCAGGACAAACCTACTTGGACTGTTCCTGTGTGTCCTCGTCTCATGTACGGTTTATACAAATGTTTCTCTTTAATGCATATTAAAGATCCTCCAAGCACGCCCACCGTATTAGAGAACAGCGCCAGTTATTCGCAAGAACCCGGACTAAGCCACCACAGTCTTCTGTTCTCTGCAATCCTCCACATGGACCTACATCACCGTGACTGAAAAATCAAATCGCACATTTCCCGCACATTGTGTACAAATGTTTTATTGATTAACGACATCGGGGACGGAGTACACAGCGATATCTCAGTGTTTGCGGACGATACCAAAATTGGGAGGGTAATAGAGACGGACCAAGATAGTGTAACATTGCAGGAGGACCTGGATAAAATAGGGGGAGGGGCAACTATGTGGCAGATGAGGCTTAATGTCGTTAAATGCAAAGTTATGCACTTTGGGAGGAATAATAGGCAAATGGGTTATACAATCATGGGGGTGCCGCTAGGGAAGTCTGAAATGGAGAAAGATTTGGGGGTCACTGTAGACTACAAACTGAATAATAAATTACAGTGCCAGGCTGCGGTAAGCAAAGCTAGTAGAGTCCTGTCCTGCATCAAGAAGGGAATGTTTTGCAGGGACAGGTCTATAATTTTGCCACTTTACACATCACTGGTTCGGCCTCACCTGGAGTATGCGGTGCAGTTTTGGGCACCGGGACACAGAAGGGATGTCCTTGAAGTGGAGAGAGTCCAGCGAAGGGCGACCAAACTCATCAAGGTGATGGAGGACCAGAGCTATGAGACACGGTTACTAAATTTAAATATGTTCACGCTGGAACTAAGGAGATTAAGGGGGGACATGATTTTCATGTACAAAATGTTCCATAGTCATAGCAACATTAGCAACAAACTCTTTACGATTAATTCCGTAACAAAGACTAGAGGACACCACCTGAAACTGGTAGAAAAAAAATTCAAACACAAGGGGCGAAGGGGATTCTTCTCAGTTCGCGCGGTTAGGGTCTGGAACTCGTTGCCACAAGCAGTGATTTCAGCTAATAGTGTGGAATCGTTCAAGAAGCTTTTGGACGATTTCCTGAGAAACGGTAATATACAGGGGTACAAGTACTCCTAAAAACGAGATGACTCGGGGATCTTTACACACACACACACACACACACACAATAGGTTGGACTTGATGGACTTATGTCTTTATTCAACCTCAAATACTATGTAACTATGATTAAACTGTGCAAGATACATTTTCTACATATAACACTTTTAGATACAGGTGACTCCGCCCACTTCCATCTTTCCTCCCTGCAGTTTAATATTTATAATTATGGAAAAATAAAAGAAAAATGAAAATTGATGCCGCAAAGTAGTACAGAGAGTAGAGCCCGGATCTGAGTGATCAGCCTCTGACAGCGCAGATTTATACCACAGATTGTTACTTTCACTTCTGGAGAATCCTATCACCGGGAATGAATGTGTGAGGAAAGGATATGAAGCTCTTATCAGATCCGGTCTCTTCCGGAGTCTTAATTGCAATGATGAAAAGTCTCCGGAACACACATCGGGGTGAATTCAATAAAACACGTACGACACTTTTCTGGTGGTGTGACCCTTTATAACGACTTCCGCCTAATTCATAAGGATTAGGAAATGTCAAACCATCGGAGTCTCCAAGACATAGATGACGCCAAGACAAGACTTGACCCATCAGACTTCACCTATAAATGAAATATCACTGATCCCGGGATGGAGCCCTTTATAAATGACTTTATCCTCCAGTTGTTCTATGGACTGAACAGTTCCACCTGCTAAATTCCATCATACGAAAGAATGAGCAGGAACGTCTCTCTGATGTATAATTAGACTTCTTTTATCTATACAACCTTTCCCGCACATATGAAAAAGGTCTCTCACCGGTGTGGGTTCTCTGGTGTTTAACAAGACTTCCTTTCTGAAAGAAACTTTTCCCGCACTCTCAACATGATAAGGAAGTGTGAATTCTCTGGTGTCTCACAAAGAGTTGTCTCTGAGTGAAAGATTTCCCGCACTCTGAACATGAATAAGGACGCTCACCTGTGTGAATTCTCTGATGTCTAACAAATGAATGTCTCTGAGTGAATGATTTCCCGCACTCTGAACAAGAATAAGGACGCTCACCTGTGTGAATTCGCAGATGTGAAGCAAGGCTTTCTTTCCGAGTAAAACATTTCCCGCAATCTGAACATGAATAAGGAAGCTCACCTGTGTGAATTCTATTGTGATTACGAAGGTCTACTTTCCAAGTAAAACTTTTCCCACACTCCGAACATGAATAAGGAAGCACTCCTGTGTGAACACTACGGTGTTGAACAAGTAAACGTTTCTCAGTGAAAGATTTTCCGCACTCTGAACATGAATATGGACGCTCACCAGTGTGAGTCCTCTGGTGCCTAACAAGAAAATATTTCACAGCGAAAGACTTTCCGCACTCGGAACACAAATAAGGACCCTCACCCGTGTGATTCCTCTGGTGTTTAAGAAGTCTTTTTTCATTAGGGAAACACTTCCCACACTCTGAACATGAATAAGATTTTTCACCTTTGTGAATTCTCTGGTGCATAACAAGGGTTCCTTTATCAATAAAAGATTTCCCGCACTCTGAACATAAATAAGGACGCTCACCTGTGTGAATTCTCTGGTGTAAAATTAGAGTGGATTTCTGTGCAAAACTTTTTCCGCACTCTGAACAGCAAAAAGGCTGCTCACCTGTGTGACTTCTCTGGTGTGTAAGAAGGCTTCCTTTCAGAGAAAAACATTTCCCGCACTCTGAGCAAGGAAAAAGACCCTCACCTGTGTGAATTCTCTGGTGTTGAACAAGGGATCCTTTATAAGTGAATGATTTCCCGCACTCTGAACATGAAAAAGGACGTTCACCCGTGTGAGTTCTCAGGTGTGAGGCAAGGCTTCCCTTCCGAGTAAAACTTTTCCCGCACTCTGAACATAAATAAGGATACTCGCCCATGTGAATTCCCTGGTGCTTAACAAGAAAATATTTCCTAGTGAATGATTTCCCGCACTCTGAACATGAATAAGGACGCTCACCCGTGTGCATTCTCTGGTGTAAAAGAAGAGTGGATTTTTGTGGGAAACTTTTTCCGCACTCTGAACAGCAAAAAGGTCGCTCACCTGTGTGACTTCTCTGGTGTTTAAGAAGGGTTCCCTTCACAGAAAAACATTTGCCACACTCTGAGCAAGGAAAAGGACCCTTACCTGTGTGAATTATCTGGTGTTGAATAAGGTTTCCTTTCTGAGTAAAACATTTTTCACGCTCTGAACATGAAAAACGATGATCTCCCGTGTGAGTTTTTTGGTGTGCTAGTAGCTGTTTTTTATCAGTAAGACCTTTCCCACACTCTGAACATGAAGAAGGACCCTTAACTGTGTGACTTCTCTGGTGCTTAAGAAATTCGGTTTCCTTATGAAAAGATTTCCCGCACTCTGAACATGTAAAAGTTACACTGGTATGAGATCGGAGATGTTTACGAAGTTCTAGGAAGGATTTCCCGCACCCCAAACATGAGAATGGATCCTCAGCTCTGTGATCTCCTTCATGGGGTGAGGAAGGTTCCTTGGGATTAGATGGATCTCTTGCAGTGTGAGATCTTAGATGGATATTTCCAGTCATAGTATGTGAATGATCAGAAGATTCACCCTGATCAGAGGGATCCATTGAGGTCTCTGAGCAGTGAGGTCTGTGATGTATATTTTGTGTGTTTGGATTCACTCCTGGAGAATCCTGTGTGATGACATTATCTTCTGACTTACAATCAGCAGATAATATAAGATGTCTCTCCGAGGTATTCCTGACATCACATCCATCTGCTGGAGAGAAATTATTACACACGTCAGTAATCAGAGTCATGTATGTTGGTCTAGAAGTCATCACAGAGCTCTGGCATGGAATTGGGTCCAATTGTAACCCCAAAATATGAAAACCAGCCAAATAAAGGAGACAAAACCCCCAAAACACCTCTGACCCCCCCGGAGACCATTGTACTGTTCATTCATGACAGCTATGGGGAATGGAGATGGACCTTCATATGGTGTACAGTATCTCCTCCTCATTTGTTGGTCACATGACGTTATATTGAGGCATGGAGATGGACCTTCATATGGTGTACAGTATCTCCTCCTCATTTGTTGGTCACATGACGTTATATTGAGGAATGGAGATGGACCTTCATATGGTGTACAGCAGCGGTTCGCAACCCGTGTAATCTCAGGACCCACATTTGTCCTCAGTCATAAGTCGTGACCCAAGTGGCACCGCACTAGTTCCATGGCATTGCGGTACCACGCATTCTGGTGCGGGAGATGAATCTGTGGGTGGGAGGTGCATTTGGGGTATCATTCAAATGAACGGCAATGCAACACACCTCCTAACCACAGTTTGATCTCCCGCACCAGAATGCATGGTAGGTGCGATCTTGCACGGTACTGTTTTAATCGCACGGGACTGTACTCGTGTGAACGGGCCCCCAAAACAATGACAGACACAACCACAGAGACAATCTCTCACACATACACACTACAAAAATTTTTTTTATTGGTTTTTAAGGTCCCTCAAGTCTCCTTACCTTACAAGAACTGGGATGGATCCTCAGCCTGGGGTCCAGTGTGGGCCGCTGCACTGTGACGGAGCTCCATCCATATGTGCAATGCTGATACAGCTCCCTTACACGCCCTGTAGAGGTTGCAGGAGCCAAAATGTGACGTCACTCCGGTCCAGGAACCTCTAGAGGACACGTGATGGAGCTGTAAGCAATGCACGTATGGATGGAGCTCCTTTATGGAGCCCCATCCCACCTCAAGCTGACACTCGGCTCTGTGAGCCGTATATTTTGAATGGCCGCTCAGTACCAGAGGTGACAGAGCTGTGCTATGGGGAGGCCTCTCGCCTATAAAAGTAGAAGGCACACGGTAACCCACTGAAGACGGGGTCGCGACCCACCAGTTGAGAACCAAGGCCCCCAACCATGACCCCCCAACCGTCCAAACACTAATCAGGAGATGACGACCCCTTCATCCTACGATAGGGGAGATGACTTCTTCTGGGGAATCTTCTTCCCAACTTTGATGGTCCACCATTTATAATTCAGTCTCATCTTATCTGATGATGTGAAGATCTGATAATTCTCCAACATGATCCCTTAAACGTCACACCTTCTACTCAGGAGTGACATAGAACTGTCACCTGTTCCCTCCATAGTGTCTGTTACTTACTTGTGTTGATCGGTAGAGAAATGTCATCCTGATCACTTTTCATCATCATCCCGACCTCCTCCGTGGACGGCCGGTCACCCCCCACATACGTCTCCACTTCTTCCTCTTTAACCTCAGCTTTTATATTGTTCCGTTCTTCACCCTAAACCCCAAAATAATAGAAAACATCTCATAAAGCTGAACTCCGGGGAGATAGAAAAGACGCAAAGGAACGCAGCTCTGTAATCATCATCACACGTGTTTTACATATGTAAGCAGAGGAAGTGACCCGGTATCCTCTTGCAAAGTTCAGAGTCAGTCTTCTTTCTATACACCGAGTCCCACCTACCTGACCATGGTGGGGGATGGTGAGATCTTCCTGTGTGGAATCCCGGGAATACAGAGGACGGGGACATCTCTCTGGTGGGTTTCTGTCGCGCAATGTCTCCATCATGACGTCATTGAAGGGATCTTTGTGTTCTTCTGAAAACTCCTCCATCACACCAAGCTCCTCCTCCTCCTCTTTTATCTCTTCTTTAACATCATTATCACACTCACTCTGTATATTGGGAACAATGAGATCAGATGTAACACCATAGATAATGATCAGGTCATATGGAAGTATCTCCTATTATCTATTATTTCTCTATTTCACCTCATGTGAGATGTTGGGATCTTCCTGTGTGGAATCCCGGGAATGCAGAAGACCTCCTTCCTCCATAGATTGCAGATCTCCCATCACCAATGTCTCTTCTTCTTCTTTTTTAACTTCAACTTTGATGTTTTTTAGCTCTTCACCCTAAACCCCAAAGATGATAAAAAATATCTATACGAAGGAACCAGAGATTTTATAGGAGAATGGAATTCTATTGTTTAGAAGACATTTTGGGTTGTACATGCTGAGTCCCACCTACCTGATCATGGTGGGGGAGGGTGAGATCTTCCTGGGTGGGATCCCGGGAATACAGAGGACGGGGACATCTCTCTGGTGGGTTCCTCTTCCTGGATCCATCTGTAGGAAACACACACACACTGACTGAATACATTGTTTCTATGTGTGTATCAGATGATGGGGGATCTAGGCGGAGCCTCCGTACTGCTCTCTCCTCTTACCCGGTGATGTGAGGGGCGGCTCACTCTCCATCACGACGTCCTTGTAGAGATCCCGGTGTCCTCCTAGATACTCACACTCCTCCATGGAGAAATAGACAGAGACATCCTGACACCTTATAGGAACCTGACACACACAATGATACAGTCACCACCCAGACACATCCCTTGTCTGTTCCTGGAATCACAAACTCCGACTTTCGGCACTATTGGATGACTAATACAATATTCTACTACTATAAACTATAACAGACATCACAGTGACTATGGATGGAGGATGAGGACGGACATGACGGGGGGAGGGGGGTTACTGGGTGTAAATTTTAAATAATGTCTTCTTACCTCCTCTGCTGCCAGTCCTCAGATTCACCTCTCGCTCAGAACTTCTTTTATACTCTTACATCACTTCCTGTCTGTACCTTACATCACTTCCTGTTTGTGCGTTCAAAGTCAGATCACCGCCGTGTGTTGAATATAAATACTGCGGTCTATCGTATGTTTAAATATTAGTGATTACAGACATTCATACGGCTCCTTACACACTGTACGTGGACATCAGTCCCCGCCCCCAAGGAGCTGACAATCTAATGTCCCATCTCACATACATAAACACACATACTACGGATAGCTTAGGAGTCAATTATCCGACCAGCGTGCCTTTGGAGTGTGGGAGGAAACCACACAAGCACGGGGAGAACATGCATACTCCATGCAGATGGTGTCTTGGTTGAGAATCACACAAGGGAACCCAGTGTATTGTGAGGCTCTGGCTGATGATAATGTGGACGGTGTTTTCTCAGAATCTCAATAAGTCCGGTTCTGGGTCTTGGACCCCGGAGGCTTTGTAGAACCACCATGGGCACCCTGACCGGTCTGCAGCTACACTAGGGTCGCCACCTTTTCTTCAAGCGAAACCCGAACACTCTAGCGACGCACAGACATTTTTTGGGGAGAATGAGTTGCGGCTTATTCATATGTAAATAGCACAGTCAAGATAGTGGCCAGTAGCCCCTATCTTAATTTTGGTTGCCCCGTCTGCCTGACATCTTTTGCCCGGGTGAAAGCTGCCATGAAACCCGGACACAGCATTCAAAACCCGGACCGTCCGGGTTAATCCCAGACAGGTGGCAACCCTACGCAGGAAGGTCTGTGAAAGCTGTCGTGTTTGGAGGAGCGGTATTGAACGGAAGGTAATTTCCTCCGGGGATTCCGTGGACCACATTTTGGTGGTTGCTGCACCACTGGTCCTCATTAGTGCAGCCGGACCCGGCCGAGGGGGAGAGCGTGTCTCAGTGCATGGAGAGACAGTGAGTTTTGAAGTGGAAACGTTCAAAATTTGAAAGAACGTTGAAATTGAAACAACATTTTGCCACGCCCCCTCCGACGACGCGTAGCGCTTTGTCATTCCCATTAAAAAGTAACTTTGTACCCTCTGGTCAGTTGAATTCCATGTAGACGACCATGCACGTGCACCTGTATTATAGGGTCTGCCCAAGATCCATAAAGGAATCCGCCCTTTTGACACTTCGGCCAATAGTATCCGGCTCTATCACCCAACCCATTGCTTCGGTACGTTGACTATTTTTTTTTTACAACCACCGGTACGTCACCTACCAGCCTTCATTACCACCTCCTGGCTGGCCGTTGTTATTAAATGGCCGGCCGGGAGCTTCCTGGATGTAACGGGCGTAAAGGATGGCCTGTTAGCCCCGCCCACTCGAGGCACGCGGAAGCTGTCATAACTTAAAAACAGGCAGCGATGCCTGTTTACATACAAGCGATCCGCCGGCTATAGAGCCGACTGATCGCTTGTATGAGGTGCCGATCGTGCACCCAAGCGGGTCCCGAGCTCCGCTGTGCCCGGGGGCCAGCACTGGAGCTTTCCGACAGGAGATCAGTACGCCTGTCAGTACTATAGGCCGCGGCCCCTTTAATGGGTTTTAAAGGAGAACTATGAGATGAGTGATTTCCACTCACCTCATAGTCTCCTTTAATCAATTCAACTAATAAACAGACTTTAACCTTTATTACCAAACAAAACCACTGCTAACCATTAACAGAGCAGCATGCTTAGTCACTACGACTCAAGCAGCGATAACTTACACAAAGCCAAATTACTGTTTACCAACCACCGTCCACCCACAAAGTAGGTGACATTACCCCATAGAGGTTGAACGGGACAAGGGAAATTTGAGCAAAGGGGG